ATGAAATTAAATCTAACATGGAGTGTTTTGCCAATTCTGTCAACCGAAAATTAGAGGTCATTAGCAATGAAATATCTGGCATCAAAGAGTTTAAAGCTTACTCTATACTGTCATTAGAAGAAGTCGTTAGTGATTTGAAAAAGGAAAAGCTGGTGCTGAGCAACAAGAATGATAAATCAGAAAAAGAAAATACAGATTTATGTGTATCTTTGTCAGAGCTTCGAGCTAAGGTGATAGACCTTCAAGATGAAAAAGCAAGCCTACTAACCGCAATGAAGTTAATCCAACGGGAAGGAAAAGATGAACTAGAAGAAAATAAAAAAAGGATTGAAGCCCTGGAAAACGAGAATAATAACCTAAGAGATGAAAAGCTCGGATTCACCAGAGTGATGAAACGGAAAAAGAAAATAGCTACCATTTCTTCTCCTGAAGCTACTAGCTCATTGAAAGTAAAGAATCAGTTTGAAGTTTTAAGCTCTGAACAGGAGGACGAGGAAGAGATTTACGAAACGAAGGCTAAATCATCGACTTTCTCACAGAAAGAAATTGCGGTCAATAACAATATAACCTCAAAAGATCCGCGCTCCCAGAATGAAAGTACTTCCTCTCAACCCGACTCATTATCAAATATTACCCCAACTCATCATACTACAGCCAAAAGTAACAGCGACATCCCGATCCTAATTATCGGCGATTCTATCATCAAACATATTGATCCTAAAAAGATCTCCCGAAAGAAAACTATTAAACGCACGTTTCCTGGCAAAACCGCAGAACAAATAAAACCTGAAGTGGAATCTATGGAGGTTGAAGTACTTCCTTCACACATTATTGTACATGCTGGGACTAATGACCTTTCTGTGCAACCGCCGCATAATTGCGTTAAAAACATCGAGAATCTAGCTTTGTGTATAAAAAAGAAATTTACAGATTCAAGAATAGCAATATCCAGCATAACTGTCAGAAACGACTTGGATTTAAGCAAACAGATCTCCACTGCTAATGAAGAATTACAAAAAATGTGCTCTAAGAACGGGTTTGATTTTATTAAAAACAATAATATTGATGCTACATGCTTAAATGGCGGCCTGTTACACTTGAACTCAAAAGGATCCGCATTCTTGGCAGCAAATTTTATTAAGTTCCTAAGGGGGAACATTCCAGCTCCATCAGAGTATCGCCAAAGGAAGAGAGGGGAGGATTTTCAAGGTCGCCGGACATATCAGAATCATTCACTAGAGGACCTACTGAGACTCCTATTACTCGCTCAGAGGACCGAGTATTAAGTAATGATTACAATCGGTGTGACCCTCCGACAGGTAAAATAAATGAATCTAATAATATATTTTCTGATTTAGATTGTTCTAAAGGCCTAAAAATGGCAAATTTAAATATTAATAGTCTTTTAAAAAGTATCGACTAGCTCCGTATCATTATGCAAAATAGCTCTATTGACATTCTGGCGATTAATGAAACAAAAATTGACCATTCAGTGTCTGATGATGAAATTAGTATACCTGGATATTATCATATCCGTAAAGATAGAAACAGGTATGGTGGGGGAGTGTTATTATATGTGCGAGAATCTTTACCATTTTCTGAACGAAATGACTTATTAATATCTGATTCGTTAAAAATGCTATGCATTCAAATTACGAAACCACACAATAAGTCATTTCTAATAGTTACATGGTATAGACCGCCAAATTCTGAGGTTAGTCTCTTTAATGAATACGAGACTTTTCTTAGAAAATGTGACTTGGAAAATATTGAAGTAATAATAATGGGGGATCTGAATTGTGATACCATAAAATGTCCTCCCGAAGCTCACACACGCAGACTACAATTTCTATCCTCACTTTACCAGTATAGACAACTTATTAATGAACCTACAAGGGTAACAAGAACATCAGCAACCTTAATAGACTTGATATTGACAAACAAAGAGGACAATATTTCGAAATCTGGTGTTATTCATCTTGGAATATCTGATCATAGTCTGGTTTTTGCCGTTAGAAAATATTGTGTCACTAAATCTCGGCAAAAGACAAGATATGTTCGCAATTTCAAAAGATTCAATGCCAATAACTTTCTTAATGATCTTTCCCAGATGCCCTGGGAAAATGTGGCGCTTTATGATAACCCAAATGTTTGTTGGCGGGTATGGAGATCCCTTTTCCTGCACGTCCTTGATTGGCATGCGCCCCTAAGACTGATGAGACTTAGAGGAAATTCTATTCCTTGGATTTCCCCTGATATCAAAAATCTGATGAGGGTTAGGGACTCTTACAAGAAAATGGCTGTTAAAAATAATTCCCAGATTCACTGGGAGAAATTCAAAGAAATACGTAACAAAGTCAATTCAGAACTAACTAAAGCTAAAACAGCATTTTTCTGTAACAAATTTGAGAACTGCGCACAATCGAAAGATATGAAACATAGTTGGAAGTTAATTAATATTCTCTTAGGTAAAAACAAAAAATCAAATAATATCTCTCAACTTAAATGTGATGATGTTGTGATTTCAGATGATACTTTGAAAGATGAGGCGTTTAATTTAATGACTTCTTTGTTAACATCGGGGTAAATTTGGCTAATGAAATTGAAAACGATTCTCCATGTACGAACTTTTCAGATGATGAAAATTACCACTCTAACTATTACTCTAATATAAATTTTAAATTTTCTGAAATTAGTATGGATGATATTATTTGTCAATTACGTAATCTTAAAATTTCAAAGTCTACCGGTATTGATAACATCCCTGCTATAGCTCTTAAATTGTCCGCGGAAGTTATTGGTCCTTCATTAACATGGATTTATAATCTTTCAATCAAAACTGGGATATATGTTGATGAATGGAAAAAGGCGTGGGTAATGCCAATTTTTAAATCTGATGATAGACAAAGATGTGAAAATTACCGACCGATATCTATATTGCCTATTGTCAGTAAAATACTAGAGAGATCGGTTTTCAACCAGATTTATAAGTTTTTGAATGATATTTCGCTGCTATCTAAACATCAATCTGGCTTTCGGCCTAAGCATTCAACTTTAACAACACTCATTCAAATGTGTGACACACTTTATGAGAACATGGATAATGGTCAGTTGAGTGGTGTTGTTTTCCTTGATATTAGAAAAGCTTTTGATTCTATTGATCATACAATCTTATTGCAAAAGATGAATGATCAATTTGGAATAAAAAATGTGGAACTGGATTGGTTTAAGTCCTATCTAACTAATAGAGAGCAAGCATGCATTGTCAACGATGCAATGTCATCACCTAAAACGATTGTGTGCGGAGTTCCGCAGGGATCAATTCTTGGTCCCTTGCTGTTTTTATTATATATTAATGATTTACCCGAATGCCTCGAAAAAACTTCGCCACACCTATACGCTGATGATACTCAAATTTCTACTTCTGCCAAAACTATTGAGGAACTTACTGAAAATCGAAATAAACTGCAACACCACCCAACTAAGACCAAATTAATGTATATCGGTTTAAAGTATAATACTGATACTATGACTTATGATATTCCAGTAATGATGAATAACCAATTCATAACTCTTGCTCATTCATACACATGCCTTGGGGTTAAACTTGATGAAAACCTTAATTGGCATGAGCATGTTGAAATGATTTGTAAGAAAGTTGGGGCCGGCATAGGAGCAATGCAACGAATTAAGCCATATGTTCCTATAAATACCCTGCATACCATTTACAGAGCTTTGATAGAACCGTATTTTGATTATTGTAGTCCATTATGGGACGTCTGTAACCAACAGCTGAAAGATAAGCTTCAAAAGTTCCAAAACCGTGCAGCGAGAATTATAACCGGCGCCAGCTATGAAATAAGGTCTGCTGATGTTCTTCGATCCCTTGCTTGGGAAAATTTAGAGATAAGACAACGTACAACTAAATCCACATTAATGTATAAAGTCCTGAATGATTGCGCTGGGCCGAACTTGAAGGATGCTCTAACGAGAAGGGACCTTGTTCAAACCAGTTATAATCTTCGCAATACTTATACTGACCTTACCCTTGCTAAGCCAAAACGAGAATTTCTAAAAAAAAGCTTTAAGTATAGCGGAGCTAAATTGTGGAATAGTCTTCCTTCTGATGCGAAGCTAGCGCAATCAATTTATTCTTTTAAAAACTGCCTGAAAGTTTCACGCTAACATCTTCTAATATACTGTATATGCATGCTTTAGAAATATGGGTCACACCGTTTGGAACTTAATTCTTGTATTGTAAATAGTTGTATATAATTCTTTATTCTTTTCTATATCATATTTGTAATTTTTAATAGTAACAGACGTCCCTCGTGAAAATCAACAAATCGTTGACGAGGCTAACGTCTTTAAAATTAAATAAAGTTTACATACATACATACATACATACAATACCGCGGGTCAATGGCATGCACGACTAACGGGTAACCCGCCCGTTAGTCGTGCTATCGTCAGGCGAGCACGACTAAAATATAAATATCAACGCATTCTATTGGCTAAATTGCTCCTCGCGCATCAACCTCGTACCCAGGGCTTCTGCGCTTATTGCTCTCAGAAGCCCTGGGATAATCCAAACCGGAACACCATAGAACAGTGGTGCCCGCGGAAGCGGAAGTAAACAGTAGCTCCAGCTAAAAACGCTGACTGGGCATATTTTTACGCAAGGAGTGAGAGTGGATTATTTGTTGCGATTTATGATATATTTGGACTTGTAAAGACGTCTTAAACTGCTTCTCGCGTAACCTGAGTATCAGGCTCTATTTTACAAATAGAGCCTGACACAAAACTTAACCTGATCGCTTTCCGCCCACAGCAAAGTTTATATTTAGTATCCAATCAAAATGTCGCAGGAGAAATATAAATTTCACACAACGACAACAACAATCTAATTATAGCATAGGCAGCCCACTAAACGGCTGAATTTAAATTAAAACTGCAATGAACTTATAAAATTAACAAAAATAATCACAAATTAGCGAAATATATTGCAAATGTAGCTTATATTAAATCGCCACCCGATTGCTCTCTCCTCCGCAGAGGTTTCAGTGACTACAATGAGCTTTACATGGCGCTTGCCGTATTTATCAACAAACTGACCTATAATTATAAAGTATATATATATATAGTATACTTTATAACTATACGTCAGTCGATAGTACAATCTGATGGCGATTTAATATAAGCTACATTTGCAATATATTTCGCTAATTTGCGATTATTTTCTAATTTTGCTGCAGTTTTAATTTAAATTCAACCGTTTAGTGGACCGGCTATAATTGTGGTTGCGATCGTTATAAAATATATCAACAACAATAGTATAATCTAATTAGCACCAGCCAATCAAATGACAGATTTAAAAAATCGTTTGTCTAATCGGCCAATCAGCGCTCAGTCCAGATTCTGGACTGAATAACCAGGCAAAATGCCGCTTTTGTGTCAGGCTGTACTTTTCTCCCCTACGCCCGCGATCAGGCGTGCCTGTGCCCTAAAAAGTACGGCCTGATACTCAGGTTACTTCTCGCGTGGCTTTTGGAATTTAAAGTCAGGAATGATCAATTTAGAGATACAATTATGCGTAAAATAAGCCCTTTGGCAAGCAAAAGAACATCTTATATCGCGACAACAGCATACCTTGTCAGCGATATACAGGGGCTATTCAATAATTAAAGTATAAATATTTATCTTCGAGTACAACATTGGTCATTTCAAAATCAACAGACTAGAAATCTTACTGGTAACATGGCTGGCTACCGATTATGCACTAGTCAATTGAAACCCCGGCCCCCCGACCCCCGGGACAGGGCGGGGAATTAACGGGAGAATGGCTGTGGATTAACGCGGGTTTAATGCACCATTTCCCCCGGGGTACAGGGGAAATAACAAGTCAATTTATTAGCCGGGACAATAGCCGGGACTTTAACGCGCGGCTGATACGAAAGTGGACTGGAACATGTTTATCGTCGTGGCAACATAGCGGAATCTTCGAAGTCAGAGAAGATATTTTATAAACTTTTGTCCGTTTTATCATTGTTTCCTCATAGTTTTTCTTAAAAAAAAGGAATATATTTTCACTTTCCTGATGATGACTGCAAAATAGTCGAAACGTAGACTTATTCAGTATCTTTTGATGCGGATCAAAGTTTAAGATCAAGAATTGCCTTCACATGTTGTGAACATTTTATACTTCAACGATTTCCCATTTCCCAAGTCATGAAAATTTGCAAAGTGCCGGGCCATAGGGGCGGTAACTTTAACAGTCAATATTCCC